TAGATAATATATGCACAGCAATATAGTATCAAATAAAGTGATTTTCAAATTGTCCTAAATGCCTGTAGTTGCTGACCACGTTGCGAAATAGCATTTTAGACTTATCATTGTGGGACTCATATCATTTATTTTCAGACTCGACAGCAATGCAGGTCAATCAAGGTATATTTGCGACCAACGGTCAGTGTGGCTTCTTGTTGAAACCGGAATGCATGCGAAAGACGAACAGAAATTTCGACCCATTCATCGACCGCACAGTGGACGACGTCGTGCCAAACAGCATCACGGTCAGGGTATGGAAGGGCCTTGGCTTAGGACCCTGAAATTGAAAGCTGTCCACATTCAGTGATGCAACACCCTCATGTTTCAGGTCATGTCCGGTCAGCTGCTGTCGACCAACAGGATAAGCACGTTCGTGGAGGTGGAGATGTACGGCTTGGCGGCGGACACGGTCCGCAAGCGGTTCCGAACACGTACTGTGGACAACAATGGCATCAACCCGCAGTATATGGACAAAAACACGTCTGGCTTTGAGTTCCCTAAGGTACCCATATGTCGCGCTCTCACACCTCTCCCGATCATTACGGTAGATAGTTCTGCCTGACATGGCCTACATGCGTTTCGTGGTTTACGACGATGCGAACCGCAACATGATCGGTCACTGTATTTATCCGGTAACCGGGATCAATGCCGGTATTTCATTGCTTTTCGTTTTTTCTCGGCAGCATATGTTGTCAATGTTGTCATGCGGCTATCGTTGAAGGGTATCGGCACCTTTGCCTGAAAAACGCCATTGGTCAACCTCTCGGATTGGCGACGCTCTTTGTACATTTTTCCATAAAGATCTTCGTTCCAGAGGTACATTCTGGTACGCAGCGGTTTAGCTCATTGTACGTGCTTAAATTTAAATGATAATGATTACTTGATATGTTCAAGAACTCACTAGACTCATTGCCCTAGCCTCACATTACATAAAGATCAATAATCGTTTAATCAAAAATTGCTTTTCTTGATAACAGTGGCTTCCAAACCAGTCCAGACGTCATCTTCCTTTCAGTCGATGAATAAATTCATGTACCTCTATTCGAGAATAAAAATCATAAGTAAACTCATTTTCATCCACCCGAAAGCCTCATCTCAGCAGCATTCCTCTGCAAATACTCTGAAAGTTACAGGTCACATATTTATTAACCATGGCCACCATTGCACAGCCGATGAACTGTTTTTGACCTCTCGTACATGAAACAGGAAAATGTTCCAATGTTTCGGTGAAACAACGGCGAAATGAAGAAACTTTCCATTTTTTGGGTGGCATCATCAAACTCTTCGGCGAGATTATCAGAGAAACCATAGGTATGTGATTTTTGAAATAGATGATCAGATGAGAGCCGCTAGAAATATACATCTTACATATGATGATATCGCTTTCTGCAAATCAAACCAATGTTATCATGGCGATCATAGCGAAGCCATTGATTGGACACAGACAGTAGTCGGTATTTATGTTTGTTGAAATCATCACAAAGTCAGTGGTTCGTGTAAGCAAAGCCTTTGATTTGTCTTGTCCGTAATATCCACATATTTTCAATACTTTCGGAATAAGGCACTGGATAATGCATCGCTGGAGGAAATATTTCATTCCGAAAGCAGATACGCCTGCAACTAAGTCTTGATCCCTGAAAAACTGCACCGATGTTGGCATGTACAATGTATGGCGAAGAGTACGATTTCTTGTCTGAATTTACTGAAGCATAGATACGTACAGTTTCTTACAAAGCAAGTAGTCTTGAATGGGAAACTTATGAATTACACTGCTACACGTGCCGTGATTCGTTAGGTTAACAACAAGTGATGAAATGTCCACACACGGTGTTTTTTATTCTGTTTATTTATTATAACTAATTTTCAGTTGGCAGTTTTTACCTATAAGCAATAGATCAGTTATATTCATGTCATTTACATGCCAGTTATATTCATTGTCATCTGGTAAGGACTAACAATTGGTTAACTTTGGAAATTGAATCTCTGTCCTTTGTCGTGTCAGTAGCTGATGGCATCGAAGATGTTGATTTCACTGCACAAGTTTGTCTTGTGGTTCAATTCTGTTTGTTTTAATTTTCTTTGCATCTGCCTGGCATGTGTTTGATTAGTGTAATTTCATAACTGACGGATGCACGACATAACAGTACTCCTTCATTAGGCGGTTGCTTTCATAATACGAAGGAAGGGTTAAATGCAGACAACTTTCCGTGACAGTTTATGAACAAGAATTTAAAGTGTAAGAACTTTTCATTCTGCCATTCCTTCAAACACCGACAAATGAGAAACAAAACAATTAAACGGAACGCCATAAGACACGTCGCCCACTTAGGGTCAACTTGTTCAAGATAAACGCATGTAAGTATCTCTCTTCAAATGTAGGGAACGCTTTCTTTCTGTAATCTTGTAAAAAACTGATTAACAGTAATTTCGAGAGCTCATTCATTTTCTGTACGGTTATAATAAATTACCACTTCAATGGTTATGCACACATAGACATATGGAAACAGTTCGGCAGTAGTCCGTATTATAACGTCGGACATTATAACCTGTATTGGCCATCAGCTGGGAAACTTCGGCAGTTAAAATAAAGACCATCATTCGCCTTCGTATGTTTAGAATCATCTGATATGGAAATTTATTTAAAAAAGGCACAGAGTTCGAATGAGTCTGAGAAGTTACCATTAATTAATTTTTACAAGTTTCAAGAAATAACGATTTTTACTTTGGAAGAGATTTCGTCTTTTTGCGGGAGGTGATATAACCCTTAGGTAAGTCACAAACGGGAAGACAACGCGTAAAGTAGTCTTTAATTAGAGACATCTGAAGTTTCGGACCAAGCTCGGTCCGTCTTCAGAGTACAAAAACAAAAGACGCAATGTTTTCATTCAGGACTGGTTGATCCGCATGATTAATGGTGC